GTTGCTCGGATTGTTAGATAAGTCGCAAATTTTGAACACTGCATAAGAATTCACTTTGCGATTCGAGCCCATAATTCTGAAATGCTCGCAGTGAATAAGATCTTCAGAAGAGTCTGATTTTCTTGTTGAGCATGATTATTTAATGGGACAATTATGACATTTAAAATCATTGAATGGTAGTTGATACCAGGTTCATAATAAGTGATTCCTCAAAACGAATTTTTTAACATACAGTTTTGTTTCCCTGCGCGTGTGCCTAAAAATCCTGTAAGCTCATGTTAGTCATGCTCTCTGACCAACTATGCTACATAGATGCATTTCGCGTCATTACAGTAGTTAGTGATCTTTGTCGATTCCACTGACCATTGAAAATTTAATCTTCGGCTTTCAGCGACGTTTCAGCTGCTGCTCTCATATGCTTTTGCAGAATACCAAAATTATAATTTTTACGCATGATGGACAGTGCTGTATCCTGGGAAGGAAGTATAGTAATACGCTGTGCCATATGAGACAATATTCAAATATCTTGCTTAAGTATATTAACTACCGGTTCGTAAAATGGCGAAGAGGTATTTATCTACTTACTGAATGATAAAAGAGGCATCTCCCATTGTATCTGTTCATATTTAGTGAGTTGTTGCCAGGTCGAATGCTCTCTGAGCAGTTCAGATCATGGTAATAATGAAATTTGCTATGAAATTCGGTTTTGTTACGGTATTCGATTGTTCGCATACTGCGGCATACGCGTCCATGTTTACCATGTATAGCAGTCAGATTGAACAAGGTTTGAGGTTTATATCCACATAAGCTTTTTTTGCAGTGAGTTCATGCAACTTCCCGTTTTTTAAATTATCGTCTTGCAAATATTCCTTTTCAAACATTTGTTTAGTATGATTGGTTAATGTGGCCACCAGCGCAAGCAGTCAACTTTGCATTCGTGCCATTGAGGTTTCGAATAATGTTTGTATACTCGGTTGATGTTCTTTGGTTTACTGTCAACTCCATGGTGAAGCACAAGGTAAGGCTTGATGTTCATATTAACTGTTTGTATTATTTTTTTATTTTGAGGACTGAGAAAAACTATTAATCTTTCTGAAGTTGAGAAGCCAACGCGACTGTTCTCATTTTTATTGATTTCATTTGCCTGTGATGTTTTACGAAAGGCGTCATTTCACTGACACTGAAATTGAAATTCATGAACAGTAAACTCTGTCATTTGGTCGTTTTATCACCTCTCCGTTTTTAGCGAACGTATGAGCTGAAAAATCTGCGCAATTTTTATGAAGGCCGCACTTGGCTCCCATCCTGCTTTCCTCTATCTGACATTGCATGTCATATCTGGACTAAAAACAAAACCTGTCTTGAGTTTGGAAATTACTTTTTAGGTGCATTGGTTTTACCGTCATGCTAGAGGACGATCTTATGAAGCTACAAACGTTGTTGCTGACATTCGATAACCATGAAATACCTCTGGAGTTGGTGAGCACCTAGTTTAATTTCTCTGCTAACTGCATTCTTAATAAAATTTTCATCTTCATATTCAATAACCGTTTTTCCTTTCGAGTCGCGGAGACAGACGCGTCAGACAGTGCTTCTAACGTTCCTGATAATGGCCTGAATCTCAGCTTCTGCAGAAGACAAGCTGAGTCTACAGCAGATATATTTGCACGAGGTTAATTCAGCCAATCTCTTAGGTCTTTTGCCCTTCGGCAGGGCAAGAAACAGATGCTTCGCCTTCTTTTCTGTAGGCATTCGCCATACAAGCCCAAACCATCGCATCTGTGATTTCTCAATCTGAAGAAGCAACGGCGGTACACCAAGGCTCTCGCGCATGTCCGTTTTTGGACCTCCTCTCAGAAAGCTCATTTCAGCCGCTTGTACCTGAGATCAAAGTCCGTTTTCAGTCGTGGTCCACAACTCATGACCATAGGGAAGCATGGGTAAGAAAAGTGACTTTAACACGGAGATTGGTCTTCAGATTCAGCACCGAATTAGTCACAAAGCTTTGGCTAGTTCATTCAGAAGGCCACTGGTTACTCTAGTCCGCCGGTCGATCTCTTCCTCAAATTATTTATCACCAGTAAACGCGACACCGAGGTACCGGAACTTCTCCCGGCTCCGCCGCTTCTCCGTACATCTGAATACAGCAATGAACAGAAGAACCAGAAAGCTCTATGCTTTTCTAAGCTTACACACGCATGCCAGTCCACGTCGCACTGGTCCGCGAACCTTTCTAGAGAGCGCTGTAGATCGGTTTCAGAAGATGTCAACAAAACGAAATCGTCTGTAAATAGCAAACTTCTCGTCTCGACATCTCATGCGTTGATACACTCCTCCCTCTGGCTCCGCCCGATTATTTTACCTGCGTACAACAAACAGGAGAGGGGCAGAACTGAGCCTCGGCAAACAGCACCGCCACCGTTGAAAGGTCTCGACTTAGTGAAGTTTGCAGCTCCTGCTATTAGAATACAGTGATTGGATGGCCCTTAGCAACTGGCCATCTATCCTGTATGCTCGAAGTAATGACCACAGACTGTTGCGTGGGATCCGGTCATAGGCTTTCTCTAGGTCCACAAAACACGTACCCCGGCTGGACGTACTCCCACGATTTCTCAATAATCTGGCGCAGGGCAAATATACGATCAGAGGTGTTTCGACCGAGCCGGAAGCCACACTGCTTTTCTTACATCATGAGGTCAACTATTTCGTGGCACCTTCTTTCTAGCATCTTTGCGTAAACTTTACAGGGCGGCTCAGTAATGTTTTGCCCCAATAATTGGAGCATTTCTTGCAGTCTCCCTTCTTGAATACGGGTACAACAACTCCCGTTCTTTAGTCCGCTGGTGTCTTTCCCGCAGTCATCGTAGTTTGACAGACACGTCACAGTCAGCACATGTCGTATTCGTTTAATGCCTCGAGCATCTCAGGGCGGATTTCATCAGTTCCAGCAGCTTTTCCGTTTTTCAAGCTTTCCACAGCTTGTGTAAGTAATATCCGTTCCCTGCTGCTCTACAAACGAGTTATCCTGCGGTTGTAAAGGGCTATGGAGTTGCTCAAAGTAGTCTCTCCATCGCCGAAGAATGTTCTTGCCATTGCACTGCCCTTCTTTTCACTTTTGAACCGACCGATTGCCTGCCAGAATACCTTGTGTGTCGTCTGGAAATTCGACTCCAGTCCCTCACCGAACGTCTACCATGCCTTTGCTTTCTTCATTGCGTTCAGTGTCGCCTTGCGTGCTTCAATATATCGCATGCGAGTAGAAAGCTTTTCGCTTCCAAGCCATCCCTTCCATGCCGCCTTCTCTTTAACTGCCAGTTGTACCTCTCGAGTTCACCAAGAAGATCTTTTATGATCTCCAGGCGGCAGACCAACCCGCTTGATACCGCAGCATTCGACGGCACCCTGGAGTATGCAGCTTTTAAAGAGGTGCCACTCGGTTTCAACATCTGTTGTCATCACCGGGATCTGTTCAAACCATCGTGCGATGTTTGCAAATTTCTTTCTCATGTCCGCCAAAGATAATGTTTCCCATTTGATTTTCCGGCTGCTTCTGCCACCAGCTCTTCGTGTGATACTCCATTTCTTCCAGCGCAGCGTGCCAACAACAAGATTATGATCGGTTGATAGCTCTGCGG